GATCCGCCGGCCCAGACACTGCCTCAGCCCCCAGCCGAAGCCCAGGCTCTGGAAGTGGATGCTGTTCTTGTCTTTGCTTAGCCATCGAGTGGGGTCGAAATTCCTCGGGTTGAAGAAGATGCTGGGCTCTCGGCCCATGGCATAGTTGGACACCTGTACCAATGTCTGGGGGCAAAGGGACCAGAGGCCTGAGTCTTCCCAGCACCCACCACCTCGCTCCCCAGCACGGCTGCCGCGGCAGGACGTCCCAGCCACTGCGCACCTGAGAGTGGCCTCCCTGCCTTGCCCACAAATGGGGACAGTCAGAGATACAGGCTGGGAGGGCCCAAGGGCTTCTCTGCCCAGACCTCAGCCCCAGAGAGTGCCAGAGGCCACTGCCCACTGCGTCCTCCACCCCTGCCACCATTCAGACGTGGTGTGTAGCTGCGGAGGGTTGCTCCCCACCGGGCCCCAGGTAGGGACGAAGGAGGGCGGGAGCCTGCCACCAGTGTCCATCTGCTGTTGCCGACGGCCCCAGCCTCCCCTGAACCCTGCTGCACCTACCTTGGCAGGAATCACGTAATTGCGAAGAACCAAGTCGTTAACGAGGTATCTCTGCAGGGTCACGGAGATAGGGTGGAGCCTGCCGGAGGACAGGGTCATGGCACTGGGCCTGGGCATGCCGTGCCCACCGGGCCCCAGCTCCAGCCCCCAGGAGTCTGGGGGCAGGACCCATCTCCATCGCCTCCTGCAGACTCCCCACTTCCCACTCCCAGTCTCCTGCACCAGCCGGTCCCTATCGCCCTCTCCCCGGGCACCACCCAGCCCTGCCCAGGCCTCGGGGTGTGGCTTGCCTCAGCGTCTCCTTGATGCTGGCTCTGAGGAGCGGGACCAGCTGCAGCATGTCGGTCAGGTTCCCCTGGGCCTGGCGCCGGGCCGCCAGAACCTCTGCACGCAGCATCTCCTGTACCCTCAGGTTGCGCCCCATCTCGTACAAGTGCCACTGCAGGGTCACGGACGTCTGGCAAGGAGGGCGGGGATGCAGAAAACCAGGAGAGGCTGTCACTTAGGGTGACAGCAAGGTCTGTGCCCACGTCACGTTTTCATTTCCAGGAACCCCAGTCTCCTCTCCAAGCCCCCATTACCACGACCGCCATTGGGAAGCAGATGTTGATGAGGTCTTTCTCACTACCCAGGCTGGAACACTCAGGGTGACATCTGTCCCTGCTCTTGTCCCTCCCATTGCCAGAACCCCCTCCCCAGCTACACAGGTGGGGCCTTTACCAAAGACCTCCAGAAGGACTTTCGAAATCCTCCTTGAGCAGTGACTGCGTTCCGAATGTCTGCCATTCCTTTTGAAATGCCGGTTAAGCAACCAGCCCTCTCCCCCGGGCAAACTTCTTGAAACCTTGGCTTTTGCCCTCAACTGCTGAGCTTAGAGTAAGACCCAACGATATGGAAACCACAGCAAGCACGTCTGTTGTCCCCCTGCGTCAGCCTTAGCCTGTGGTGTAGACAGAGATGAGCCAGCTAATCTCAGTACAGGACAAAGGTGGTAACCAGGAACACAAGTGATCCTCAGCATCCCCAGTCATAGATTCCTCAGTGGTGACAACCTTTTTATTGTTTTGTTACAGAGACTTGCTATATGGCGTATGTGCTCCCCAGAGACACAGGGAGAGGGAGAGAAGTCACCCCCCAGAGGGATGGCCACACCACAATCCCTTCTCCTCCATTTTCCTCTTGGGATGGTGGGCACACCTGCACATGTGTCCGACATGAATTTCAAGCCACCAGGTCCAGGATTCGAACTGCAATGGACCACTACGCCACCTGCTTGCTCACCTACAATGCCTGCCTGGAGAAGCCATCCCTCCTGGGGCTAGGACATGGGTTGTCAAAATCTGAGGTTCTATTTTTATCCAAGTCTTGGATGCTTTTCACCCTCTTCCCATCAGGGACAATGATGAAAACAGCACCCAGGCCCGTCTCGGCTGCAAGTCCTTGCCTGGCTCCCTGGAGCTCTGATAAAGCGCGGAGATTCCGGCCTGGCCCGCAGGCCCCTCAACGCCTACCTGCTGCCCCAGCCTGCCCACCTCTGCCCTCTGCTCCAGCCAAGCTAGACTACCAGAACATGCAGCCGACCCCCCACCCCAGGCTCCATTCTCTTCTGGAGCCAAGGACGTCGTCCTCGGCTGACTCTGATCAGACACACGCATCTCCATACCCCCAAGGCCTCCCTCAGAGCAGACACGGGGGACACTTGTTTAATAAGGCTGTGGGATTTTTTAAATTGCCACCGGGCATACGCGCTCACCAGAGAGACACAGAGACAGACAGAGAGAGAGGGGGAGGGAGAGAGAGATTCGAAACCCGATGGGACACGGTGTTGTCATTGACCACCCTCTCCAGGAGGAGATGGAGCCAGGAGAGGGGAGCGACCCAGTGTGGGCAGGACGCCTCCTTGAACAGCAGGGCTTCAGGCCACAGGCAGCCCAGGGGGAGGCAGGAGAGCACAGGGTGTGCCCTGCGGCCACCTTACCGTGTCCACACCTCCTGCCAGCATTTCGGTGATGTTGGCCTTGATGTCCTCAAAAGGCAGCTTGTCACTTCCCAGGAGCCTGTACAGGATGCCCGGGTAGTTGGCGCCAACATCTCTCTTCTGTCTCAGGTCCCAGTAGAAGTTCTGGGTGTACTTTTCAGCTGTGGAGCAGGAGGAAAGGAAAAGTGAGGTTCCTTGCTGGTGGGAGGGAAGGAGGCTGACTGAGTGGAAGCTGGTGCCCAGGGCATGGGCATCCCACAGTCCTGTGCTTTTCTTTTTCTTTAATTGCCAGAGGGTACCTGTGCTCACCAGAGATGGAGAAAGTACCCCACCTTGGGGCATGGCCACACCGCAATCCTTTTTCCTCTATTTCTCTATCCCATCAGGATTTGGCGCATGCTCATGTACCCAGTTTCTGAGCCTCCAAGGCTGGGATCCATACTGTGGTCGGCCATGCAGCATCTGCTCCCCACACAGGCAGCCCACAGCCCGGCTGCCTCGTCAGTGGTTACTCAGCACTCACTCCACACTCAGCCCTCCACGTCTGCTTTTGTTGTTGTTTAATTCTTTTTTCTTTTTTTTAAGAGAGACGTTTGCTATTGGGCGTGTGTGCTCACCAGAGAGATAGAGAGACAGAAAGTAAAAAATCACCCCCGGGGGATGGCCACGCCGCAATCCCTTCTCCTCCATTCTCCTCTTGGGATTTTGGGCACGCAAGCACACGCACCCAGCATGAGTTTAAATCCACTGGGTCCAGGACTCAAATCACAGTTGACTACTTAGGAGCCCAGTGATATAACCATTATGGCAACTGTTGCGCCCTTGTTGTTTAATTCTTTTTTTTTTTTTAGAATGATTTTATTTTACTTATCATTATTTTTATTTTCAATTTAACCAGAGCAAGACACACAGAGAGAGAGAAAGCAAGAAAGCAAGATTCCAGGTCTGGGACTCGAACCATAGTGAGCCATATGGGAGTCCAGCACCCCTAACCACCACACCACCTGCCAGCCCCATTCTTTTTTATTTTTAAGAATCATTTATTTAATTTTATTCATTCATCTATTTTAATTTAACCAGAGACAGAAGGAAAGTGAGAAAACAGGCCACCAGGCCTGGGACTAGAACCATGGTCAGCCATGTGGGAGTGTGCAGCACTTTAATCACCATGCCACCTGCTGGTCCCTTGTTGTTTAATTCTTGATCAAAACAATGGGGTATGTGATAGATACGGAAAGGCAGACTGCCCAAGGTCACCTGGGTTCAAGGGGCGAGGTGGAACTTGACTGCATCCCCCCTCGGCCCTCCCCACCAGACTTTCTCTAATCTCTCCTTCCCAGGTCCTGATCACCTGTCACACAGCACAGCTGTGGCCCAGACCCTGACCCCTGACCCCTGACCTGGCCCCTGAGCCTGGGGATCACAAGCTCCTTAGAGAACACCATGGCTACCTTTGCTCTTTCTCCGGAAAGATGTAATCATCCCCAGCAGCCAAGCCTTTCAGCCTACCTTCTCCAGGGGTTCTAGGCCTTCCTGACGCCCGTTCCTGACCCCAGAGGGGCGTTTCCTACGTGGTGAGTCAGTGCCCAGTGATGTACCTTGGGACAACGATGCAGGCAGAGCCCCAAGCTTCCCTCTGACTGGCCCTCTCCCCTCCCCTGGCCCCCCACACTGTATGGTGGACAGGACTCCCTGACTCCTGTACCTGGCTGCCAGATACAGTCAGAGGGGCCCTCACCTCTATCGAAAATCACATCCCATGAGGCCACATGGTCCCTCCAGGCCTTGGTCCGGAGCACGCGGAACAGGGTGGGAGGCAGGTTGAGCATGGGCACGCTGCTGTGAAACATCTTGTAGACGGCGTCGATGAATTGCTGGGCCTTGGGGTCCACTACCTCCTCCAGCATCCCCTGGCGCTCCCCAAAAATGACATTGGTGATGGCTGTGGGGGCAGCAGAGGTTGAGGGCTCCTTCCAATCCAGCGGGCTGACAGCCTTAGCTCAGGGTCTTCCTGCCCCGCCCCGCCCTGCCCTGCCCCAGCTCCAGCACGCCAGACCCCACTTTCATCAGCGTAGAAACCAGGCCTGGGCCCTAAAGGGTGGAGGACGCACAGCAAGAAGGCCACCCTTCTGGGGACACATGGATGACCCTTCCCATGTGGAAAGTAGGGTCCACGGGAGGGCACCCAGGGGGGCCTTTGCAGGTGCCACTGCCTCCTCCTCCACTGTCCTCCTTACCTGGTCTGGATACCTCTGACCGGCCACCTGCACCTGTCTCCCTTACCAGACTTTGGAGTCTGTGTCCCAGCAGGAGGAGACGCAGAATGAGGGCTGAGCCAAGCTCTGGGTGGAGGGCAGTGAGAATGCACCATCCCCCTAGGCTTTGGGGACCCCCCTCCCAGAATGAGTGACAGATGAGAGAGTGGGCCTGCTCAGCAGATTATCCCAGAGGCCGAGCCCCGCCCTGCTGCAGGGTCTGTGCTGGTCCCCAGGAAAGCGAGCCCACACAGGGTCCCTGCCCCAGCCTGCCACCGGCCAGCTGCAGGCCCTTACACTCGAAGGCAAAGCGGAACAGGTCATCGCTGATATCCCCTGAGAACTTTCCAGAACCCTGCTGCCGGATGCGCCTGTGTATGAGGTTGATGAAGTCCTGGGCCACTGCTTCTAGCAGGGGCACGAAGTTCCTGATGGACTCTGGGGACATCACCTCCGGGTTCAGGGCCATCCGGTCTCTCTTCCAGGCTTCTGCTTTCCTGAGGAAACACAGGCCCTCCCTCAGGCCCTCACCGCCACAGACCCCAGGCCTGCTCTCCCAGGAGCCAGGCCCCTGCTTGAGCACTCACAGCAGGGTTCCCGCCTCCCTCCTCCCTGCTCTGCCTGGCCTGGGCAGGAGGAAGGGCCGGGGCCAAGGAGAACCAAAGCCCACCCTCTCCACACCCTCCATGGCCAAGCCAGCTGGGACGCTGTGGTGTGGTGGCAAGCACGCCCTCCAGGTCCCCTCCCTCCCTCTGGTTCGTCACCCCTCAAAAGCCCTCCACGTCGCAGGCTCTGACTTGCACAGATGGGGTGACTGGCTCGTCTGTGGTCCCCGCTGTGTCCCTGCTCACGACAGAGCAGGGCCCGGGGCTCAGGGGCAGGCTGACGGCTGATGTAAACCCATGACACGCACTTGAAAACCCATTCGTGCCAAGTCCTCTTGGCCACTATAGTGTGTTCTGAGGGTTTCTTTACTAAAATCTCGCTTTTTCCCAATCAGGTGTAGATTTCTAAGTGTCTCCTGTATTGTCATAGTACGCTGAGTTTATTC